ACGTGATGGTAGAACCTTAGATTTGAAAAAGGAAACTTGTAGAAAAACAATGGGAAGAGAAAAGGAAATTCAATTCATTTCTCTCAAACAAAAGAGAAAAAGAGTTTATACAATTCCTGATCGTGCCCAGCTGGCTACGATGTAGCAAAGGTTCTAACAAAACTTCCTAAAAATGGGGAAAGGAAAAAGTTGTTAATTCTGTGTGGGAATAGCTAGGTGATGATACTTAGGCAATACTAAGGTGATAGTAAATGGGCTGGAAAGAGTATTAGGCCTAAATAGGATTGGGTCTTAACACGTGACTCCAACCGCGGCAAGCCCTGGTCCCACCACCGCCTCTCCTCTCAAGGTCAGCATATCCTCCATTCCTTTCTCGACCCACAATTTGATTCTTCTAAACTAGATGAGCAGCTTCTGGGTTTAGTTGAATTGCATAGAGATGAATTTGGTTCTAGGTTGGACTCTCTGTCTCTGGACGTCCTGGGTATTGTTAAAGGTTTAGGATTTCACAAGAAATTCGACTTGGCAATGGATGTGTTTGAGTGGTTAAAGAAATGTGAAAATTGTGATTCAATTTTGAGTGGTTTAGTATTCTGAGAAAAGTGGGCAGGGTTTCTTCTGCAATTTCTTTGTTTCAGAGTTTGCATAAGGATGGGTTTGCGCTTGATGTTTATGCTTACACTTCTCTGATTATTGCTTGTTCCAGTAATGGGAGATATAGGGAGGCTGTTACTGTTTTTAAAAAAATGGAGGAAGAGGGCTGTAGGCCCACTTTGATAACTTACAATGTGATTTTGAATGTGTATGGGAAAATGGGTATGCCTTGGAATAAGATTAGAGCGCTTGTTGAGTTATAATACACTTATAACTTGTTATCGCTGCTGGTCTTTGCATGTGGAGGCAGCTGAGGTTTTTCAGGAGACGAAATTAGCAAGGTTTGTACCCGATAAGGTTACGTATAATGCGTTGTTGGATGTGTATGGAAAGTCTAGGCGGACTAAGGAAGCAATGGAGGTATTGAAAGACATGGAGTTTAATGGGTTTTCTCCAAGCATTGTGTCTTACAATTCACTGATATCAGGTTATGCAAGAGATGGTTTATTGGAGGAGGCAACAGCCTTGAGAACCCAGATGGTGGAGAAAGCGCATGACCATTGTATAATAGTTGAACATTTCCATTTCTGATTCTTCCTTGTGCTTTCTTATCTGTCTATTAATTGATATTATGTTTTTGGTTGCTTGGTCAGGATGAGTAAGATGGGTTGATGTTGTGAGAGCTACGTTAGTATCATGCCCTTGATCATTTTCTTGCAAGTATAAATAGATGTGTGGTTGCTCTTTGCATAATTGCATGCAATATGGCCCATTATTAATGGTGAGAAAATGAACAAGAAAAAGACAAGGAAGGACTTTTGAGTAGGCAATCAACCATTATATAATAACCTATAGGGCAGGTATACAGTTTGCCAAGTATATATGATGCAGAATGCATATTATTAGTTTTCCTAATTCTACTTGGATTAGTTTTCCTATTATTAGTTCATAATTCTACTTGGATTAGTTTTCCTATTATTAGTTTTCCTAATTCTTAAAGATTCCTTCCTAGGAAAGGATTTCTTATTAGTTAATTTGCTTTCCTATTTCGTAAAGTTTACTTTTCCTTTTCCTAGATTTTGTCTCTATAAATAGAGTTGTTTGTAATCTTTTAAGGCAGACTTGATTAATGATAAATTTCCTTACTTTAAACTCTCTGATTTCTTCCCTTTCCCTTCGTCTCTTCGATCTCTAATTCTTCTCCTCGATCCCTTATTTCTTCTCTGTTCTAATACTCAAGTATTTACTCTAAATCTACGGGCTGTTCTACATCAATTGGTATTCAGAGCCTACCCTCACTTTCGTTTTGCGCTTGCTCTCTACCATGGCCCCCCAAACCGTGGCCAGCCTTGCGGAACAATGTCGTGCATTCCAAGACAAGGTTTCTGACGACATCGCTGGCATAGAAACCCAGCTTTCCAAGCTCAGCACTGACATCAAAGAACATCGTGCGACGACGGACCTCGCCATCGCCAAACTCCAAGACTCTGTTCAGTTGCTTATCAACAACTTTCGGACTGGACCTGCTGAACCTTCTACTTCAGCGGTTTTATCAAGCTCGTCTACGCCACCGCCGACAAGTGGCATTCTGCCCAATCCACCGATGGATCAAAAACTTAAGACCGTACCATATGGCATGTCGCATGGCTCAACTGGGTCTATGCCACAGCCCCATTATACCCAACACAC